GTGGGGGGGGATCTACAATCTTAATTATTTTTAACAGAAATATTAGACCTGTTGCATTAATGTTTGGCCGTGCAGCTTTTCGGTTTGCATCGTAACTTTGTTAAAAGTTCTATTGGACTAATCGATGTCAAAGTTTCATTCAACTTTGTCAGACGTCACTGTTGTAGTAACGGGAACAAAGTGGTGTTAAAATAGAAATCGACTCTTACTTTGTAAGGTACTGATATTTTCAGATCAAGATCATATTTACTTTGTTATGTATGGCGTGTTTCATTTTGGGGGTTCGCAATAAGAAAGTAGAAAATGATGATGCTACAGCTAGCTGGAACAACTTAAACTTTTGAATGTCATTTTTATTGTTTATTCATTTGAGCTTGTAGTAGGTGGTGTAAAGTTTTCAATGTTTTCATAACAGTCGGTTGTTGAAGCACCTTTTTGCTATCAATCTAATTAACTGTAAATAAAACAATGTACACTTCATAACAATGTAATTCGTATCGCCTTAGACAATATATTTCTAAGTAAACCGGAAACCCTTAGGTTTTCGGAAACGTTCCTGTTCACTTATCAAAAGTCGATATCAGGAACATTAACTACTTTAGAGGTCTCTTTTATATTGAATACAATCGTTGACTTTTCACAGCGTCCGTATGAAGTTTCGGCACTTTTACTTTACTTTAGCAAGGCTAAATATATAACAATTGACCTTCAAAGCATGGTTAAGTTACTTAAATATTACTATAATATATATCAGGCCCATACGCAGAATATTTGAACTGGGGTTTCTAATTTGTGAAATCAAAAACCAACTCATATTATGCGAAGCACAATCAGCATGCAAAACATGCTAATGCTACAGGGGTCTGGGGATAAGACTCTTTCAAGCCAAAAAATTGCTAATGCTTCATCAGAAGAATGTAGACTATGTAGAAAACGTTCAATATCATAAGCAGCTGTGCTATAACGATATAAGCATTATTTTTTACGTCACAAAAATAAGGGTTTGGGCCAACTTAAACCCTAACCCCTGCGTACGTGTGTGTATATAATATACAATACAGACAATCAAAACTATAACCCCAACCAGCCGCGAAACATTTAATAATTCAGACCCGTGATCTAAAAGACGTCATTCTGATAGTAACATTAAACTTTATTTGCTTGTTTAACCAAATAAGCCTCCCAGTGGCACAGCGGTATGCCTGTGGACTTACAACGATAGAAACCGGGTTTCGATACCTGTGGTAGGCAGAGCACAGATAGCCCTTTGTGTAGCTTTGCGCTTAGCTTTAAAGAAACAATTAACCAAATAAAATAAATATTGACGACTTTTTCATTTCCGTTTTTTCGTTTGAATTTATCCGGTGAGAATAGTTTTAAGCTTACTTTTTTGGAAGGTTGACGTGTAGATAGCGTCCAACGTGAATCCCACCTCTTTCAAAATTCCAGTTTAACCATTACTTGATACTAATTACGAATTAGTTTTTATCATACTTTTTTTTCTGCTAATCTGCTGCCATCATCAGGGAAATCCTTAGAAAGATTATTTCTGTGATGGTAGTAATTTGATTGGTTCCTGGGCTCTCTTATTGTTACCAAATCTCATAATTCATACACAATAAGGATATATAGGAAACCCACAGATAAAATAAGTAAAGAAAAAAATTTTCATAAAAGGAAGTAAATGTAAGGATGGTTAATACCAGTCCTTCAAAAAAGAACAAAGTTCTAAATACAATGATGTTCCAAATGTAAAATTTATTGTTTATCTATTATTGGCTGGTAATTCGGGTTTCACCCTGTATACAACTTTTTAAAGGAACACCATATGTCTGTAAAAAAGCTAATTTCAAGGGGTAATGATAACATAGTTTACACTGGAATTATGGTTTTTTTAAAAGTACTACTAGTTAATAATACTTATAAAAGCGGATATTCCGTTTGAAACTATGTCACCTCAGTGAAATTGGTTAACACTATTGTTTTGTTTTTTTTTAGTTATCGTGTAATAGAAAATAAGCAGAAGAAAGAAGAACAAGAAATTCAAACTTTTTGCTATGATATTT